GATGCTTGATATTTAGGGCACGGAAGAAACGGGAGTCTGCGTTATCAAATGGGTAGGGACTAAGGGGTATGTACTAATTCTATATGGGACTGTTTGACTAACTTGACCCATTTAATTTGTTTGTTATACATGTTTGTAGATAGCTCAAAGAGACTAGCTTGGCCCGAACATAATTTGTATGCGCTGTTCTCAGAGTTTCGTGGGAAGTGCAGAGACAAACTACTGTTGGGTGTCCCAGCGTTCAAACAGGGACTTGTCTGGCCATCTATTAGACAGTAGCAGAGCACACAAGTGAATTTAGGAATATACTTTGAAAAAAGTTAGTGTTTGGTTCTGCTGCTGTCTCATAGATGTCGCTAAGATGTTCAATAACTTCTTGGTAGCTCTATAGTTTCTATTTTAATTTAGTATCTTCAGGCAACAATTAACGTATGGCAGTGATGTTAGTCAATAAGCAATGACGCTGTTTTTTGTAAGTTTGTAAGATTCACCTGTAATTTTTGCTGATAAAATGTGTTTTTTCGGATATACTGCTTGTCCTATTTTCATTTATGTATCTTCCAAACGGATCGGTTTTTGAGAATCGACAAAAAACAAAATAGTCTTAAGAATCAACTCTTGAACGTTTGACTAATGTCTTGGAAATGCATTGCATAAAAAGTAAATCTACTTTTATGGTATCTACGCACAGCTATTAGTCTCACCATTTTCTTAACTATTCGTTGCGCCTCGCTATGGACATTAATGTTGGAACATTGGATCGCGGAAAATTTGCTATTTCATTCGACATTCCAGCTTTCGTCAATGCTGATTTAAGGGGTAACATCATTGCAACAGCCGAAACAGAACTATTTTGTTAATTTTTTTCGTAGAAGAAATGATGATAAAATAATAATATTGGCAGCTATTGCATATATTTGAGTAACAAAAAGAAAATTCTCATAAAAAATATTCAAAACGTAATTTTTCAAAACGGCAGGTAGCGTAACTCGAACAAAATAATAGCGTTATTTTTTTCTTTGAAAACTGTCCGTTTTAATTCAAATACTCGGCCATGATAACAAAGCAATATTTTTTAAATCCACTAAGCACTGCTTTATCTACAAACATGAACAATGAAATGTTTTTTTTTCTTTTTTTAGATCCATATTTGCAGTAGCTACAGTGCGTGCCGCAGAGCGCCTCAAACCCCATATACCTCGCGAAATATCGTTTTAAAATAACACTGATAAACACAGGATTTGTGACATGACAATTTTTGGGCGTAAAACAGAATTTTTCTATCACCCACAGATATTCGGTAACATCTACTTTTATGAAGTACAATACGTAACATCCCATATTGCTGCATTTCTTGGAGTGTATGCGATGACGCGCATATATAATGTTAAGACCTGTCTATTCCTGTTTATTATATGCGAGCTCTATGTTTAGAGAGCATATTGCGTTCATTAGTAGACTAATAGCAGCCGAGTCAGTTACGTTTTTTGTGTTAAAGAGTAATGGAGATGTTCTGAGTACTGTTAATTTTTGTTAAAACGGTGTGTTGTTTTGAGTTTATTGTGATCGAGTATAGATTTATGCCTAGAAATTGTGTAAATAGTGCGAACAGTTTTTGTTATGTGTGCGGAGACCTAACTTTTAAATCCGAAAAGCGTACTTTTACTCCCCTTGTGTTGAAAGCATACGAACTTTATTTGGGAATTAAACTTGGCGACCAAGATAAACTATGGGCCCCTCATATTATGTTGTAAGACTTGTGTAACGTTGTTAACAGGTTGGTGAAGAGGCGGCAGTCGTAAAATGTCCTTTGCGGTACCAATGGTTTGGAGAGAACCGAGAGGCCATACTACTGATTGCTATTTTTGCCTCACAAATATTAAAAGTATTGGACCAAAATCGAAACATTCTGTTAAGTATTTTAATTTACCATCAGCTTTGCGGCCCGTTGAGCATAGTGATGAACTTTCTGTCCCAGTCCCACTAGAATCTTGGTCTTTGGATAAAAAGGTCGAATCCACCGATTCTGAAAGTGATGGTACAGAAAGCGTAAAAATTTCCGATCCTTCGTTTGACCTGTCAGGATGTTCAACAACAGCGCCGCATTTGATCACACAGGGCGAACTTAATGACTTAGTTCGAGAATTAAATATGTCAACATCCCAGTCAGAACGTTTAGCGCCAAGATTAAAAGAATGGAATCTCCTCCACGGTGATGTTAACATTACTTTTTACCGAAAACTGTAACAAGACCTCACACACTGTTTCCGTCAAGAAAGGGAGTTGATATATTGCTCCGATGTCAACAATTTGTTTGACGCGATCGAACAGAAACATGATCCATTGATGGCCGCCTGTTCATTGAGTCATATAAGCTTAGTTTAAAAGCGGTATTGGAACACAACGGTAATAAATAACCATCTGTACCTATAGCGCACGCAGTTTATATGAAGGAATCATATGAAAATATGCGAGTTCTGGTCAGGTTTTAACTCCGGCCCTCAAAAACATTGCTCATGAACCCCTAGTTGATCCCAGAAACGTGTTGCTTCCACCTTTGCATATTAAGGTGGGACTGATAAAAAAATTTATGAAAGCTATGGATCGAAATGGAAGCGGGTTTCTGCATTTAAAACAAACATTTCCGAGTCTTAGTAAGGCAAAAATTAAAGATGGCATATTTGTGGGTCCACAATTACGGAAAATCATGAAGGATGATGTATTGTAAATGTAATTGAGTTACGAGCTCGGAATGCTTTTAAATCAGTTACTGCAATTTTTTTAGGCAATGCGAACAATTATAAAGATATTGTGGATGAACTAATTAATGCTTATAAAAGAATGGGATGTAACATGTCTCTAAAAATTCACTTTTTGGATTCTCATCTCGATTTTTTTCCGGAAAATCTAGGTGCGGTAAGTGATAAACATTATGACCAGTTGCACCAAGGCATTTCTGCTATGGAAAAACGGTATCAATGCAAATGGAGTGTCAATTTGCTTGCTGATTATTGCTGGACATTGTTAAGAGATACTTCAGGAGCAACATATCGCCGTAAAACATCGACAACAACATTCTGAAATTAATGTTTATTCGAGTGTTTATTAGTACCCTTACGCACATATCCTTATATTTTACGAGTATAGCCAGCAAATAAAATGCTTTATTGCAAGGAAACCGTGGATGATAGAAAAAATCGAATGCTATTTCCTGCTTTTTGGGTACGTTTTACATAATAACCACCTTGTTTTGTCGATGTCATAAAAAATTATTTTAATTTAGATCTCCAGTTTATTATTTCTTTCATTACTGATTATATGCTCAATAACTTCCTCCAATGCCATTTTCTTCCACAAATAAAAACATGTCAAAAAATAATAATAATAATAAACAAAGTGTCGCCTGGAAAACGGATAAGTGAAATGTATTGTCAAAAAAGTGTCAATTGTACTTGACGAAGGTCACCGTTGGAATCGAAACGTCGTAATATAATGATAAATAATAATATAAAAGAATTTTAAACATATGTGGTTTGACTGGCCAGGTCAACCTGGGGAACTACACCTTAAGACTTATTCTTTTTCTTTTTGTGAAATTTACCTGGCACATAGTAGAACGAATTGCAATTCGCCTCTGCGAACTCCCCACCACTACTGCTTCCGCTTGGCATGCTTCTATTGGAGCTGAGCTCCATGGAGTCCAGTTGCTCTCTGATGTAGGCATAGTTTTCCAGGTCCCATGGGTCGATGTATGGTTCCTTTGGGAGAGTAAACGAGTCATCCGAATCCGCCTCGGCTGGGCTCCAGTAGAGTGAGTCACCTGGCATCGTGGTCGATTATCTGGAAAAAGGTTCATCCAGTCGGTTTTTTAACACTTCTTTATAAAGGGAAATAATATGGGAAACATTGAGAGACGGATACCACAGTTTTATCAACCGTAAATGTGAATGTTATAGAGATTATCTCAATAAAAGAGTTGGCTCCATTCAAACTTTGTAAAATCATGTGTCGCTACAGTGCTTTGACAAATTTCAGTTATTCCTATCAATTGAAGTCTTTGGTGTAAAAAGGTGTTAACTCAGATTTTATAGTTTGGAGATAATTGGCCTCAAAGTTTAAATCCTGCTATTTTTTATTGAATAGTGTCAAGGCTCCTTTTATTTTATTGAAGGTTATTTTAGACACATAAAAGTATCTTGTTAAAAAAATTGCTTTTATTATCAGAAATTTGAAAAAGATTTTTGAAAATATGACTTGACACCTTTTTAAAAAACTGTTATTTGCTTGGTCCGGAAAATGAAAGTAGCAGGAAGGTGTTAATTCAACGATGTTATTTATTAAAAATAAACATTGTTCTTTTTTCTTATTACAAAGTCACAAAAGTCATAACAAATAATCCACACACAGTAACTAATCGTCTCCTCTTCTCAAATTTCAATAAAAGCCTCTAAAATTTGCTGGTATTAAAGGAATTTGTTCCCAAATATTATCAAACTTTTTGGCCCCTATAGGTCGGCTTCTATCGACATTCAATAATAATGGTTCATCCTCTACTCTTCCATCGAGATTTCGCTGTTTTCTTATAGCAACAATAGTCCAATTTTACGTTTCATTAAAAGAGTATCTAAACTTGGTTACAACAAATTCCTCAATCTAGATACATCTTACATCTCTGAATGAAAATTTTTCATTAGTAGTAGTGTTTTTTTTTCAATCGACCAGTTCAAGTTTTCTTGGAAGTTCTTTAATATCAATAAATTTGTCCGCCATTCTTGTAATATTAAAAGGTGTTTTTTCCTGGCTTCTGCCATGATTGAAATATATTGATCCACCGTATAAATTAGTTGATGCTTTCTGATAGACTGTTCTATAGCTGCTAAATCTCTATCAGAATTTATGAAGGTATGTCTTACTTCAGGGAACTTATGGTAAATTTTTTTAACACTCCAGAGATTATTACGTAGTGCTACAGAGAGACAATATAATTTTTTTCTTTTTAGCCACCTGCCGAATCACTCCATGCAATCAGATGATCGGAAGCTTGATCTTTGATATTTTCCAAAAAGGCCATAAGTGACCGCGATTTTCTTGGTCTTCTGTTCAGACGTAGAAACAGCTTTTACCATTTGGTTGCTGCCTTGATATCAAATGTATTTCTGGGTTGTAGTAAATAGAAGTTTTTTGTAAATCAAATGTGAGGTGTATGATTTTTCATTTGTGTTTGCTATTCCTCGATCAGATCTTTGTACTTCAAAAGCTTTTTTATACTTTGCAACATGTTCCTCATTCTATCCTACATCGCAAACATTTTTACATTTTAAATGAAAACTGAATTGAATCTTGAGTTAACACCTTTTTAATTATAATGCAAGAATTAACACCATTTGAACTTTACAGATTAAATTTTTTGATATGGTAAACACTTTTATGAATCTCTGTATCTAAGAACTGAGAGCCATCTTTGGCCGGACAGATGCAAAAACCACCCTTTTAACACCGCTACAAATCTTAAAGTCCGAAAAAATTCAGTGAACACCTTTTTGCACCAAAGTCTCTAGTTGATACCTAATTCCACCAGCCACATCTTCAGCGTTTCTAGCATATTCACTTTTACGTTCTTTGATGAGGTACGTTAATCACTCCTAAGCTCGACCAATATTTATTTCGCATTTCTGCAGTCAAAATCCTGAGAGAATGAACCTATTTGTGCTCACAAAAACAGTAATGGTAGGTCATTTCTTTCTTATCGAGCGATTTATCTGATTGTAGCTTTTACAATAAACATTATTATTATTTTTAGACAAGAATCTTGCCAACAGACCATCAGTTGTGTTCGTTCTGAAATAAGGCAGTCCCCACAGAGATGAGTTAGTTTTTTCTGACAGTTCTGTCATTAAATTCGTATTTTAAGTGTTATTTTTAAAAGTGCAGGTGTTCGCGGACAATTGTGGTATTAGTCGATTTCAAGACATGGTACTTCTTAAATAATTGCAAAGAGCATCGGCATATTATTATGTTGATATAAACGCTGTCACTTTGGTAAGCATTGGTAGATAAATGAGTCAAAAGTGTGCACTAAAACTACGCATATTCGGTGAGAAATAATGAAATGTAAACGTATAGGCTTGGCTTACAACTTATTCGAATAATCGCCGCAAGAATATGATTGTGGGCAAGCTTGAAGATCTCATAATTTCTATAACAAGGCTTTGAGGGAAAGAAATATAGACAGCTAATGCTCAGATGCCAGCGAAAAGTAGTGCTGCGCGTGGTATGCGCTTACAGAATGGTGTCGTCCGATGCACTGTTGGTGGTGCCTGGTATCCCACCAATTGATTTGCTGGCTGAGGAGAGATACGCGCTCTATAAAAAGGGCGCCGAGGCTAGACGCGACGAAAGAGATGCGATATTTGTCAGATGGCAGGAAAGATGGGCCATGGTGCATGTACTAGAAGGTTGATTCCAGATATTAAAACTTGGATTGACAAGGGAGCGGTGATGATAGACACCGCAAAGTTCCCCACATGACATTTTTGTTTTGGCAGCTACCTGAAGAATGTAGGAAAGAGATAGTACGGGAACTGCGTATATTGCAACGAAGAGGAGGGTACTTCTGAACATCTACTGGAATATAGTAGATGGCTTTACTACCCGAAACATCTGGCATAAGCCCTCTGCAAGGGGCTCACTGTTGAAATTGTTGTCATCTATATAATCGATGATATATTCAACCAATAGTGAGGCGGATGATGCTGAGTAAGGTACAGAAGGAAAAAAATAGACCAAGGAACCTATTTGCTCGATTGTACATGTATATAAGTACTAACGTAAAACCTAGAGCAACGCTACCCACTATGAAGAAATGCTACAAGCATTACAGTGGAGGGACGAGTGGCAAAGTACTGAGGGATTTATACTGCCGAGCTTTTCTACCTGAAAGTGGATATAAAAGCTGTTAAAAAAACTGAGCGAAGTGAAGTGAGTATATCTGAAGTTGTCTGTAAAACAAACGCGACTGCCAGTATGACTATGAGTCCGACATAATATTGGTAGTGTTAAAAGCCCAAAGTCGCGCGACATGTTCGAGAAATCGCGCGATAAGGATTGTCGTATGACTACTCCATCAAAACGCGGAACACAAATTCTACAAATCAACTGGCTCTTAGTTGAACCAAAACCATCGGGTACTCCGTGATTTTTCTGGCCACTCGTAGTTTTAAACGCACTCCTACTTGAATTCAAGATATATTCGTAGATCATGCTTATGAAGCATAACAAAAAATAGCATGTAAACATGTCAACAATCTTGAAGAGCGGCTTGTCATGTCCAATCAAAAGTACAGTTTAAGAATACGGTAAAAAAACAAGTACGTATAAATATGCAAAACAGTCCTAGACGTACTCTTTGATGTACAACATACCAAGTGATCTATAAATATTTAAATAAACGCGAATGTACAGTTTGTCATGATCTAGATCTCGGAAACTAGCAAACTGAAGAATTTTTGGCAAGTGGGGCAAAATAAAATACGTACATGAAATTATCTATACTTTGTTTTTGGGTGGAAGAATACTGAATTGTGAATATAAGGTGCTGGCTTAAGGATGAGTGATGGAAGTACCGCTAGAAACAATCAGTAACATATTGTTTAAATGTAGAAGAAGTTTCTTAGTTTAAATTCCTTTTAGCTGAAATTTACAAGACTGTAGTGTTTTATCACAATTTCGAGTAGTTTTTTCAATTTTGGATATTATTTTTGATGTAATTTTAATAAGTTTCAAAAATTAAAGGAACAAGTACACATTTAAAAAACGAAAATATGACTGCTGTAACTGAAAAGAATAAAATTTTCATTCTGCAATCAAATCCATAAAGCCGTTTTGCTGTATCCCATAAAATGTTTAAAACCCGACATTTACAGGAAATAATAAAATTTTAGTCTTGCTATCGAGTTCATAAAGTCGTTTGGGCTGTATACCGTGAAATATAAATTTTAATGTTAAAATTTGGGATTGAAATCCGCCATTCATCATACTCGCACTGTCAAGACAAATCTAGAGACGCATCATATGTTAAAATCCAACAAGCCATTTCAGGTGTAGCCCGTGAAATAGGAATTTCAAAGCTCAAATTTTCGCTCAAAGTTCCCCATTTGCATTTTATAAAAGTTTCATGTGCCCAGAGTCATTCGTGGTGCTGATATGCCAAAAGCCACCAAGCCGTTCGACTGTCGCCGGGTAAATAGGATTATTCCTGTTCTCGTGCATACATACATATAACGTATACATATAATGCTTTATGATGACTACAGTACTAACCAGGTAAGGTTAGAAAGGAGTAACAGTTATAAGGACCTAGGTGTTACATTTGATGTCAAGTTCACTTTTAATGATCATATAAATAGCATTACATCGTCTGCTTTCCGAATGCTAGGGTACTGTGTTAGAAACTGGTCAGGTTTCTCGAACTTTGAAACGCTCAAGCTTCTATATCTAGCATATGTCAGAAGCAAGCTTGAATATGCAACGCTTATATATGTATGGACACCTATTTATCAAAACTCTATTAGCAGATTGGAATCTATTCAACGAAGAGCAGTAAAGTTTATGATCTTCAAATGCAATGGTTTCTATCCACAAAGAGGCTTCAACCATAATGTATTGCTCAAAACTTTTGATATCAAACCGCTTGAAGTACGCCGAAATATTTCCGCTATTTCCGCTCTATCCGCTCAATAAGGTTTACTGTCCATATTATATTCTAAGTAAGATATGTTTTAATGTTCCTCGCTTAGGTAACCGTTATTGTGCTACATTTTATTATGATTTCTGCCATACCAATGTCTTGTCCAAGTCTCCCGTGCAAATGATGTGTATAATATTCAATAGTATCAGTAACTACAACATATTTAATTATATACATATTATCGAACTTTACCTGGAAGAACTTCTAAGGTAGGATACAAGGGCGCGGATTCAGGATTTCGTCTAGAGGCGGGGGCGCAAACGATATTTGGGGCTGGTAATTTTTCTACCTCAGTGGAACTTCTAGAATTTATCCTATTATTGCTCCTTAAATTCATTGTGTTCTATTTGTTCAATGCCAACTTGAAAAAAAAATATGGAGTGCTCAGAAATCCTCAGAAAGGCAATATTTTATTATATGAGAACAAAAGAAGTACGTGGCATTTATAATTAACTAGTGTAATAATATTAAAGATTAAAACATAAAAAACTTAATTGCTCTGTTAACAAAAAAAAAACATTTTGAGGGACCCCGAGACATCCCAGCCATTCCACACAAAGCAATGCCTTTGATGACGAAAACGAACATGAGACCGAAAAATTCACACTATTGTATGGACGCTAGACGAGACAAAGAAGGATGACTATAGACCATCTATAGATCGTGTCTTGAGACCGTCTCCAGACTGCCTATAGACTAATTGCGCAACGGGGCCTACTAGTGTGTACCAAGCTTAAGTATTAATACTCTGAACTACCCGTTAAACAAATCAAGCAATTGGTGTAAATACTGACACAATCAAGCACTTCTATTATATCAGCAGGTGACAAAAATATGAATAGTTAGTCAATTATTTTTTGAAGAATAGTTGTTGTTTTCTCAGTTTTCTAATCGGTGTTGATCGCATGTAAAAATGTTGGAAATCTTTGGAAAACATAAAATAACATTTACCTTCCGGAATAGTTTGCGATTCATATCGGCAAGGTGAACTAGTGTATTTTGCCTAAAAATGCGCTTTGAACTAACCCTGTATATTGCTCAATAAACTAGTAGTGATGGCCGGAAAACAGATGTTTTGGGATAAAAAATTAGAAATTCCCTAAAACCACTCGACCAATCTACTCCACTTTTGTTGTGGTTATTTAGAAGTACGAATCCTACGAATTTGAAGAATTTCAAATATCTGCGAGAAACCGTCGTTGCATTACCAACACGTGCCAAAACCTGCAGTTTGCTTCGGTTTTCAGCCATAACTTTTTTGCTACTAGTCTGATCTTTTTACGTGTGGTCTCATTTTGTAGGTCTC